CTGGGTATGTACCTTTGTCGCGCGCCGGAGACGACTCGACGCCGCTGAGATCGGAGATCAAGCTCTGACAGGTCGCACGTCGCTCCTTTGACGCCGACGTGACTCACCCGTGCAGATCACATCAGGACACGGTCTCGACACGCTCGGTACGACGCCTGCGACCCGTCTCGGGTCAGGTGGCACGACGCTCATCCGCCTACCAGCGCTGCCGTGCAGGTTGCCACGACGAGGTCGAGCACGCTTCTATACGCTCGCCCAGCCTTCCTTTCCATCCCATTAGGCAGCCTGGGAACGGTGGCGGTCAGAGGCAAAGCCTGCGAGGGGTGGTGGAACCACATGTCACGGCTACCGCCGGCTCGACCCCACGATAGCCTCCGGAGGCTGACTTTGAGGCACCATCATCGGACGATGTTGACGAGTTGGGTCGCTCTCGCGGTAGCCAGATGACCTCTCATACTAGTATCATCGGCCATGGCCGCAGGAAGCGCGGGGGATTCCGCTGGGAGCAACACGGAGCTCCGTTGGACGCGTTTTCAAGATTAGCGTGTCAGAGTGAATTGGAACTAGCCTTCGTCACAATTTTCCACCGCTCAACTTGGAGGCAGTGTGTCTAGTAGCGTGCTACACCTACGGCTCTATGGGGACGGCGGACCTCACTGGGGCGCCGACGTGCGACGACCGGGTCTGGGATCGAAAGACGAAACCGCGTCCTAGGAGCTCGTGCAGAGGCAGCGCGCCTCTGTATGTGCCCAATAAAGTGCTAACATGATCCTCGGGCAGCAGGGGGTATGTGGCGAGCGCACGGAGGCACAGTTAGGGCGCCGTGATATCGCCCTTCCGGGCACCCCGTTTCGGTAGCCTTTTAGGGGTTAATTGGAATTGTGTCAAACAGGTGGCCGTACGAACTGCAACTGGCATGCGCCACCGCTGTTTGCAAAGGGTTGCCAGCCGTCGAGCTCCAACTGGCAGATTGGGCACGTGTAGACGAGCTGGTCGCCCTCGCCCGGGCGCGGGACGAGCTGGTCTTTGCACTGCATGCACACCGAGTGCCTGCACGGCTGGAGGCTCGCGAAGAGGGGCTCCCCGTTCTGGAGCGGCACGCCGTACAGGTGCGGTATGTATTCTGCGAAACAGATCGGGCAGTCGCCGCGCGTGTCCGCCGGCTCGACGAGGCCGCAGATCTGAAAGACCGTGAGCAGGAAGTCGGCGGCTTTGAAGTCGCAGCCCTCCACGCTCAGGGGCGAGTGGCCCAGCCGGTCATCACTGCAGACGGCACAGGCGGGGTGGAGTGGGGTGGGTGGGGGTGCGGCGGGCAATGAGGAGGATGGCGCGGGCGGCGCCGGGGTGGACCTCAACCGGGGCTTGGTGACGATGAGAGCGCGGGGGGTTGAGAGGCGCGAGAGGGCGAGAGGGGAGGGGGGGGGGGGGGCGGGAAAAGGCCCCGGGGGGGGGGGG